CGTTTTGGTGCGAACTTAGTACATAAAAAAAATTGCCATCTTAAGCAAATCGATGTAACGAAACCATAGCTTGCTTTTAATTGCGGCAACGCCATCTAGTTATAAAAATTGAACTAAATTAATGAATATGCATTTTATGGTTTCGTTACTTTGGTCTTGAGTTTTGGTCATGAACAGGGGGGCAACGTTTAAAAAAAAAATTGCAAGTTAAAATACAACAAAGAACCATTTCCAATTAACAATAACATATTTATTAATTTGACTTGACAACTTATTTGTTCCTTGTAACACATACTGACAACACAAATTCAGTAAATAAATAATTATAATTATCCAATATATCATAGCTTTCAACGTAATTATTACTTTTATGTGAAACGAGTGCGTGTTCTGTTCCATCAAACATTTACGAAAAGTCCTTAGTAACAACTTCATTATTCCACCGTCCTTAACACTCTGTAATAAGGTTGACATTCCCAGTTTAGATAGGAATGTGAAAAAACTGAATTACTAGTGTTCTTATTCCGTTGTGGTAAGGTAGAAATTCCTTGTTTATGTTGGAGACAGTAAGTAAAAGCCATTAAAGTAAAGTAATTGTTACCTATCACTTTGAGTAATAAAGAATGATTAATATCGATACAAGTGTCGTAAATTATTTGAATTAATTAAGCCATTTTCGTGGATACTATTTCCATTTTATACCATTATCAACTGGATTGAGTATGAGACCTTAAATATTTTTCAATGTTGCCCCTAACTAAAGCTTTCTCTTGTCTTGTTACCTAATGCGTTTACAAACATGTCATTCTATCACTACACATGCCACACTCAGCCCCGAAAAAATAATTTGTGAATCACTAACCAAAATTCATCCATGAGCCTAAAAAGTTAAAAGACTGTCCAAAGGTACGAAGACAGTCACATGAGTTATAAAAAATATGTGTCAAGTACCCAACATTTTTCCATTTCATTTAATATCTAATCCAAATTACGAATGTAAGGTCCAATCTTCAAAGCCAAGGAAGTAAAGAATGTCCTTCAAAAAGGACAAATTCAATTGAATTGTGCGAAGGATTGAGACTGTTCGTTAATTTGTGACGCCATTAATTCACTTTTAACGACTCTAGATGTTTTCGTGTCGAGATTACGATTTCAGATGCCTTCTGTAACATTGTGTTGGTCTAAGTTGAGATTTAACGCGGAATTTCTCCATTTCTAAGATGTAGAATGCAATAGGAATAGTTGTAAAACCTATATACCTTTTTTATTTATGAAAAATCCTTGTAGATACAAGCTTAGAATATAGAACTGTGGCAGTGTACGCTGATTAATTTAATCCTTATGGTTATAACATGGGACTTAGAGGTAGAACCGAAAAAAAATGATTTAAACTTATATGGGATGGGTGAAACCGGCCCTAAGGCATGTTCGTCTACCGAGTAAGTCGGAAATTTTACTAAGAAATATTTATAATTTAGAAAACTATTTTCTCTACTAAGAACTGATAATAAAGATACAAAAGATACAAAGATACAAAATGAACCGTCACTCCTTCACTTAACCCACTTCAAAATACTTAAAACCGAAACACCTTTTAAATTTCATTTTACTCCCAGAACGTCTTAATTCTGAACGAACAATAAACAAACAATTTACGGAAGAATCTCTGGAATGGGTTGAGATTATTTCTCATTAATTTCGTAACAGTTCCATTTAATTGAAATGTTTAAAGGCGGTTTCAGATTAGCGTATTTTCTGTGTGCATACGGTCCTGTCAAATTGTAACGCACTGCGTCCACATACGCGGAAGTGATTTTTTTTTCTATGGCATAAGCCGGTAAACGATCTGACGGATCTACTGATGGTAAGCACTCGGCGTCGCCAATGGACACCTGGAACACTAAAGGCATTACAAGTGCGTTACCGGCCTTTTGGGGATTAGGAGTTTGAGGATCGTTGGGAATTCAGGAATTGGGGAGATTGGGGAAGGGGAAGGTAATTGGGCCTCCGGTAACCTCACTCAAAAGACGAAACACAACGCAAGCGTTGCTTCACGTTGGTTTTCTGTGAGGCCGTGGTATCACTCCGGTTGAGCCGGCCCATTCGTGCCGAAGCATGGCTCTCTCACACTTGAATTCTTTAATAATCCACATCTGCGTGTGTATTTGTATCCCCGAATTTCTAGATTTGTGCATCCGTAACAACTCTGGTTTTAAGTTAACATAAGCGTTCACACAAACGCTGCATTACGCGCTTCAAAAAACCGTACTTGCGTAAATACACAACGTTCGACGTTTTCATTCGTACGAGTTGCGCGTTGCCAAAAGGTGCCCCCATACGCAGCTACATCAGGTCATGATGCGGAGCGAGGGGGCCTGGGATGCTGTCTCCTCCTTTTGCGAAGCAGTTATGCTAGCTAAGGAGGAGGCGGGACGCGTGAGGCTGCGAAGCGCTACCTCCTCGCAACCCAGCCATCACGAAGGACACACCGGGCGTCGAGGATCGCGGGACGATCTCCGGCCACCGTAAGCGCAGGCCTGCGGACGGCGAGCATGGGTGGCTCCCCGTCCGACCAGAAACAGGCCCGAGCGTACGGCGTGTCGCGTTCCACGTGCGCCTCAAAGAGCCATCAGACCACCACAGATGGCGCCCAATAGGGCCGATGCCGATTCGGAGTCGCGGCGAACCTAACGGGTTACCAGGGCTACGGCTCGACGTGCAGGAGAAGGAACGGGGTGGTTTTTAGTCAGTAAAAGTCTGACACTCCCTCCTGCCTCACCCAGGCGGGAGCAGTCATACGATGACTTTCCCCCTTAAAAAAAAATTAAGCATCTACACGTGGTTACAAAAACGAGCTCATAAGCGAGTATAAAACTCTAGTCTGAAACCGCTTGTGAAGTTAATGGTAATATTATATGCTGAGCTAAACAGACGGGTGTCAACGCGAGAGATTTTCGCATTCCATAAAGTTTCGACTTGTTCCGTAAACAGGAAACTCGAGGTATTAAAATACTTTTTGGACGGAGTGTCGCCATGAATGCCGAAGTTTGGATACGCTTAATAGTATATATCTATATACATATAGATAACACGTTACAAACAGTCAAAACTTTATATTTCTGGTGATTAAGTTACAATTTAAACTCATTTTCAATTCTACACGTGTCTGTGTATCGTGTTTCTAAAAGGAGGTACAGTTTTGAGTTCAAATTAAGTAAGAATTAGTAATTCTTAAGAAGTCATCCTATAGACCCAGTAATACTTTGCCCGACCCGGGAATCGAACCCGAGACCCCTTGCCCAGCAGTCGCACTTGCGACCACTCGGCCGACGAGGCAGTCAGTTTTAAAATAAAATCCTCAGTAGTAGCACGGAGTATGGAATTGTGCCCGGTATATGGCAATAGGCTCACCCCCTATTACATGGGACTCATACATAAATAGTGAAAAGTGGGTGTTACTTTTGTGTGCACCTTCGGGGATAAAAGGCGTGATGTTATGTTATGTTATGTCATCCTATAGACACATACAGGATTTGTTTGTTTGTTTTATTGTTTCACACCGATTGATATAGTAGTATCTACACCATTAATAATTAATGAACCTGTAATCTAATTTCAACAAATGGAGAACTTTTGGATTTGAATTATTTACCATGTTTGATTTATTAAACTATTTACTTTTGTAGTATAATATAAGAAGATAGTATACCGATACAATAGAAAGCCAGTATTATCTGTTCACATTTATGTTACTATTAATTGGATCCAAATAATGTTACAATTCCAGGATTGTATTACTACATAAAATATGTACGAAGCCCAATATTGTCCAGTCTCTATTCAGGAAATAAAGCTTAGTGGCCAATTAATCCGTTTCTACACATTCTCAAATCAAATTCAACACTTATATCCATTACATAAGCTCCATAATAGTACACAATTTAATTCCAAACTAAATATTTGTATCTCACTTAATAACTTTATAGTTAAACAAGGGTATCGAGACAGTCCCAGCTTCTAATCCGGGCGTTGAATTATTGTGTTAATCTCTTTCAAAATACAAACAGTTGTTATTTGTGGATTAAAGTACAATTATACAGTTTATAATTACTGTGTAGGTTCATTTGAATAGATTAGACTAATTTTAGACATGAATTTATGAAGAAGGAGTACTAATCTTGTGTTCATAAGGTTCATAATTGCTTGAGATAGATCACTTTTACTATACATGTTTATTCTTCTAAAAAGTAACATTGAGTTTCTTGCTTGTCATTTTTTAACCCCTACGGATCTAAATTTTGGAACTGATGGACATTTATATTTAGTTAATTACTAATTAATTCAGTGGCGTTAGTGACTTAATTAATTCAATTAATTATCGATTTTAACTGCCGTAATACAAAAAATAATAACTATGAAATTGATATTTAAAAACTATAACAAACATCTATTTCAGTCACATACATTAATCTTTCCTAAAAAAAATAATATAATTTTCCTAAGAAAATATTATGATAAAAATATGTCACAGAAAATAGTACGAAAAATAGTCAGTCATGTCATGTATAATAATACCCATATTTTGTAAGTGATTGATGAAGGCACAGTTTTGTTCCCAAACTTATAAATTGAATTTAATTCTAACTGTATTTTTGTTACCACGACATATGGTGCCACTGACGTAATGACCCATCCACAATAATGTTTCGGGTTTATTAGCCATCGTTTCTGTTGCCATGGCAACCATCCGAGAACATCATTCTGCTCGAAATTTTATTAATCAGTTAAGCGATATTAGTCTCTGTGTAGGTGTCAAAGAGTTCAAATAAGATTTTGACATGTTTGCAAATTTAAACGAAGCGTAGGCTTTGTAATAATTTTCGTGACAATATTTTCAATCTTATTAACATTTGAGATCCTTTTGAGGAAAAATGAATTATTTTTGTATTGAATGTGCATCTTCAGGGATCTTTTTGATGTTCCTTTTTCCTTGTTCACAGATGGACTGGCGAAGAACAGATTATCATGAATGGAAAATAGTAAGGAGCTAACATGGTCTCTATCTACAACGGCAGCGGTCATGAAGACTTGGCTGCGTTAACCAGCCGATATGTCCCAGCTGCAATGTCTCTTAACGGCACCGCCTACCTTGGAGGAGGAGTCCTAATCCTCACCAAGACACTCACTGGGGAATCAGTGGAAGTGATAGACGAACCCAAAGCTAACAAAACTACGGATATCATCGATGTTAAAATTGTCCAAGTTGCCTTCTGTATTTTATACACAATCATCTTCGTTTTGGGAGTTTTCGGCAATGTCCTCGTCTGCTATGTCGTTTTCCGGAACAGAGCTATGCAAACTGTTACAAATCTCTTTATCACAAACTTAGCCCTCTCCGATATATTACTATGTGTATTCGCTGTACCTCTGACGCCAATGTACACATTTCTAGGAAGATGGGTTTTCGGAAGACTCCTGTGTCACCTAATGCCATACGCACAAGGCACAAGTGTTTACATATCTACGTTAACACTAACATCTATAGCTATAGACAGATTTTTTGTCATCATATACCCTTTTCACCCAAGAATGAAATTGAACACCTGTATACTTATTATAATATTCATATGGGTATTCTCCCTTGTCGTAACTTGCCCCTACGGCCTCTTCATGGGAATACAAACGACGAACAATAGAACTTACTATTGCGAAGAAAGTTGGCCTTCCGATAAATCCAGAAAAATATTTGGAGTTTTCACCACGGTATTACAATTTCTAATACCATTTTTAATAATAGCTATATGTTATACATGCGTTAGTATAAGATTGAATGACCGAGCGAGGTCAAAACCAGGTGCTAAAAATACCAGGAGAGAAGAGGCGGACAGAGATAGGAAAAGACGCACAAATAGAATGCTCATATCAATGGTGGCTATATTTGGAATATCCTGGCTGCCACTGAACTTGATAAATATTTTCAACGACTTCTACGCCCAGATGACAGAGTGGAATTATTACTTTGTGTCATTCTTTCTCGCTCATTCCATGGCAATGGCGTCAACATGCTACAATCCTTTCCTATACGCATGGTTGAACGAGAACTTCAGGAAAGAGTTCAAACAGGTGCTTCCGTTTTTTGAATCAACGGGTGGGGTGAGAAACAGTTATCATTCTGGTCGCATGCCAACTCACAAGGCTGACAAAATATGTAACGGAAATGATACTATTCAAGAAACTTTGCTGGCTTCGTCATTCAATAGAGGGCCGTCGATAAAGCAACGGATATTGGAAGGCAATGGAAAGAAAGACAATGGGGTTGAGGTGGAGAATATTATATTAGAAGACAAGGTGTTATCAGCTACGTATCACACGAAAAGCGAAAATGTAAACTTGCAGTTAATAGATGAAGAATCACAGCAAAGTGAAACGAGGGAGACGAAATCTCCTATGTAATTGTAAGTATAAAGATAATAAAATGCTATTTTGTATAATTCATATTTCATCTCAAACTTCAATTGCCGGACCAACAAAAGGAACTTTCTTCATATCAAAAAGATACTTCATAATAGAAATGCCGTTCGCATACGACAATAGAGTTTCTTGACAATATTCAACAAGTTAAACACGAGCTCGCGCTCTCAAATCTCCATGTAACCTAACTTTCAAACTTCCATTTTCACCTCTTCCCCTTTTATTTGCGTAATTGACAAAGTTTCCTGCAAACATCTCAGAAACTTTCAATAAAACCAATTACAAAAGTGACTGTTTTTAGCTCTCAATTTGGATCAAAGTTTGGTTATAAAAATGAAGCGCTGAAAGCAAATTGCTTGAAGTTTGGGAATCTGGTTGGAATGTTTCTGGGTTACGCTGGTTCAGTACTAAGTTGGTTCGGTTGACAAACAATGTCATCTGAATTGCACTTTTTCTTCTATTAGCTTGTTTACGTGCAGACGCACGAGATTTTCCTTAGTTTATGTTGGAAGTCCAAAACAAACCAATTACAGAATAATCCAACTCTGTTCAGTACCAACATTTTTATTGGTATGTTTTGTCGTTGAATCTAGTCATTGCCAACTACAATTCACCACATTGATGTTGTAATCATTAAAAATCCCAGTAAGCAAAGTTTGACCAAGAATAATTGAAGAAAACTTTTCTCAAAAAGGTGTCCTAATCGACAAAATTACTTAAACATAATGTATAGTCCGTCGCACACATTGCCATCACTCTCAGAAATGTCCTATTCAAAATTCCATATGCATCCATTGTTTCTATCACAAAACCAATGCTTGAATCTAATAAATACTCATCAAATTATAGCGAATAATAAGGGGGTACATAACCAATTCAATTTGTCAACCATGAACAACATAACGCCAAACATGATACCAATTTACATGGGAATTAATTGTGAAATTGATTAGCATACGATCCAGTACAAATTATTGTGTCACTCGATATGAATAATGTCAACTACTATTTGGGATTTGAATGATAGCTCTAATTATAATTGATTAATTGTTATTGACGTTTGCTGTGGCTAAATGAACGAAATTGATATTCGTTATAGTCAATTTTGTTGTGTAGAATTTATTGTCTTTCACTGCCATTTTGTTCTTTTCGATTTGTGCGGTTTTATTTTAATTTTTTTTTACTCGTACATCTTGAGTTTAAGTTTACTTTACTTTTTCTTTAGCTTTACCTGACTTAAGTAAAAAATCTGATGATTTGTTTGTTTTTGAATCATTATCTTTAAAAACATTAGGAGGCCTGTTTACTTCCGAGTTAGCTTCTTCTTCTTAAAGTCAATATTTGTTTTCGGTTGATCTTTACTTCTTCCTTAACATTTTCTTTGACTTTATTTACTAAATGCAAATGAACTTTAATTTAACAGCTTTTATCACTTCAAGTTCATACGGACCTTGAATTACGTTTATGCTTCTAATGAAATTTCTATATATTGCGCTAGAATGAAGACAAGAGCAGATTTTAATTAAACTAACGATCTATGATAATAATTTATGAGAAACGCGCTACGCTATTTGCATATGAACTGAACTGGAGCAAATTATGGTATTGTTTGCCGGAATTCAGTTAGCACAAGTTGAAATTGATTTTTAACTTTTTGATCAACTTTAATCCGGCTTCCGTGTGGTTCCTTGTTAATATTCTGAGAGCGTACACTGTTTTCGTTGGTGTATATGTCAGTGCCGTCAAGACTATCGACATTTTGAAGCTCGTAAATATTCATTAATATCGACCGATGTTGTACTTTAGAACTTCTAACATAATTTACGCGTGGATCAAAGTGCACTTCATATTTGTTGCCCTAGTAATATTTATAACTCTTTCATCTATTCACAACTTTAAACGAATGTTCTTAAGAGCGATTTTTCAGTACTTTGGTGTTGTAACCTTAGTATACACGTAAAGTCCATTACATTTATACATACCTATATGAGAAAAACAAAGAATATCATAAACTGTATTTATACGTTCCCTTTTCTTTGTTTCAGAGCCAAATTCGTGACAACGATTTTCGAAACGAAGAATTCGTACAATGTAAAAACTAATTATAGTCATATAAAATTTTGTCTTTTTTTACATTTTTATCTAATTAAATAAAATGCATAGATATTTGCTTTGCTTACTGTGATCAATGTGTTATTTAACGCTGTAGTATGTAAGTTATTTTGTAAATAATTTAAATCGTAATTAGTTGTCTTGTATCCATATTGTAAGCTAGTCGATAGGTTAAAGCAAGTATCCAAAGGGCCTATAATAATTATTTTATATCTTGATGGCAGTGAGACTGTCTGATGTATAGTTAAGTCATTATTCTTTGATTGGTGTTTTTTTGATTAGACTGTTGAGCCCAGTTTCAAACATCTCTGTTTTAATCAATGATACTTCTGATTCTGTTGCTTGCATTTCATTTATCAATTTGTCTTCTACGTCTTTCGTGTATATGATATTAGTACTATCCGTTTGATTTATATTTTTATCTATTTTAACTCCATAAGGTTTGGTGTCAACATTAGCTAATTGTGTTAGTAGAACAATGTAAGCAGCAGAATCATTTAGAACATCAATATGAATGATGTTATCATTTTCAAAAATATCGATGTTTGAAATTATGAGTTTATCATGAAACACAAATCAAGAATCTATAGAAATTAGAATTATAACGAGTATTCTCATAATTGCGAATTGTACAAAATTTAACTCTTAATTGTAAGTAGAGATATTTTGTAAATAAGGTTTAAAAGTCATGTTGTTAAGGTGTAATTTTAATTGAGTATTTCGTAAATTTGCTTGGTAGTGTTATCTGTTAAAATGAATCAATGTTTTAGTATTTAGTATACATGTTTACTGTTACATTTGTGGAAGAATAAACGAGGGTCGGTTGTTTTGTAATTTTCTATTTAAATTATCCCTTCTGACTGAACCGTATTACCGTGGCCTCCGGCAAGAATTCCGATTCATAAATATTTTTATTGAGATCAAATACCTTTGGGTTATAGAAATAAGTGGCTCAGTTTTATTGATTAAATATAGCGGTTTTGTATAATTATATTTCATCAGCATCATCATCATCAACAGCCTATAAATGCCCAATGCTGAGCAAAGCCTCTTCTCACACGAAGAAGGTTTGACCATTAATCACCACGCTTGCTTATTGCGGGTTGGTGATTACAAACTTATAATTAGAAAGTATAAGCCCAGGTTTCCTCACGATATTTTCTTTTACCTGACTGCCTCGTTGGTCGAGTGGTCGCAAGTGCGACTGCCGGGCAAAGGGTCTCGGGTTCGATTCCCGGGTCAGGCAAAATATTACTGGGTTTTTTAAAAAATCTCAGTAATAGCACGGAGTCTGAAATTGTGCCCGGTATATGGTAATAGGCTCACCCCATATTACATGGGACTCATAACATAAATAGTGAACAATCGGTGTTACATTGTACAGTGGCATAATGTGCACCTCTGCCTACCCCTTCGGGGATAAAAGGCGTGATGTTATGTTATTATGTGTTTTCTTTCACCGTTTGTCAGTGTTGTCTAGATAATCTTAGAAAGTACATAGGTATAACTCGGAAAAAGTCACATTGGTACTTGCCGTTGGTAGGTTTCCTTACCCTCATTCATGAGAAGCCAGCGTCTTAAACCTCCGCGCAACAACGACACGATAATTATATTTATTCGAGTTATATTTCTGTGGTCTTGCTCATCTTGGCTGTCGAATACATCGAAGTATTTGAATTACATAGCATTTCCGATAATTTGTATCGTTGAATTATAATGAAACTACCAATATCAATCGTATAACACTTTAGTGAAAAGAGAGTAATACCTAATTCTCTAATTTTTGTTGGAAAACTATTATTGAGGGAAAACTCTAGGGAGGGAATGTCAATTTTAATTCTATTTTCTCAACTCGCAATGACAATAATTCAAATTATCCATGTAGGTCGCTACAACACCTTTTATATTCTTACTTTATACAGAGTGTTGCGGTTCGCAATATCCATTTCGTCTTCCTAATAAAGCCAGATGTAAAATCTTTAGAAGATTCAAATTTAGAATTTTCCACAATTCCCTTTAATGGCGTTTAATACTTTCATTTGTTACAACGACAGGCCTTCTTTAAGGATTGAAGGGTTTGGAGAATGAAATTTCAGTCGTACGGCCTGTTTAATAAGATATTTTTTCGCTTGATGATTTTTATTCTGTGTTTAATATTGTAACAGATCAAAGACTCGTAAATAATTAAGTTCATACAGGTTATGTACTATATACATATAGTACCTGATAAGAAATATTTTGGGATAACAATACAACTTTCAATTTTAGACTGGGTATGTGGAGTTTTATACTACATATAAGTAGGTCATTTTGACTTTTTGTTGAATACGCAATGGGCGTTTTTCCATATTAGGCACTGGTCTGTATTATATACATACCATTACTGTATCCACGTTATTTTACTGAGAATTTTGAAATCAAAATCACCTCGATAGTTAGTTAAAGGGCTAGTAGAATACCAGCGCAAAGCCCTATATTACACATGCTGAACAAGTTCCATTTTGCCGCAGAACATGAACAATGAACATGTACCGGAAAGTACTAATAATGTAACATGTTTAAAGGTTTATAATCTATACATGTCATTTGTTCTTAGTGTATAATAAAATAAATGTTTTTTCTTCCTTTCTAATTGGTAGAAAAGCAGTACCTACTAGTTACAAAATACGATTCAAATTTGTGTGCAATATCTACAAAAACAGTCAACATTATGCAGATACGACGTTCCTAAGCAAAGAGTTTCTTCATAAAGGCGATAACTATTAACCGCAGCGACGTTGGCAACATCTAGAGGAGCTTGAGAAAACGACCACTATAGTGCTCACCCCACTGCAGTATATTAGCGTAATGGCGAATTATGGAGACCTAGGCCACGATAGTTTCCTCTTATAAACATACTAGTTATTTCACTCGACTTTGTTTACGAAAAGATGCAATGTGGAGCAATGAGGGAGACGTTTTGTTCTTAGGAATAACTTTAATTAACTGTCTTAATATCTATCTTATGCTACTTACTTATAGGGCGAGGTACACACACTACAGAGACCGTGGGTTAATTTAAGTTTTGTCAATGGTGTTTCTTGATTGTTAGTAGTTACTTTCATGTCTATGACGATGATACTAGCTTTAATTTTTCACTGATTATGTCATAGGTTCTATGCACTAGAAGATTAGCCTATTGACAAAAAAATTGAGTTACTCACCTAAATATGCTGGTAAAGCTCTACTAGTTCTGAATCACAGAAAGACTCTTCCTCGTGAGCATCCTGCGCGGCGACCCAACCACTTAACCGCTTGATATGAAACCCTAAACTTTTTTCATGCAAAAGTAGTCTCTAAATATTAGTAATAAGGTATATAATGGAGTACGTGCACAGCGAATCACCTAGTGATGACTGGTTGGGGATTAATCAATGCGACGTCGCACAGCCTACTGACGTCGCCGCATTCAGTTTTTTAAGTAAAGGGTAGGTATTCCACATTTAAAACGCACGATTCCAACCCAGCCATTAAGTTGTTATTTAAATATGAACTTTAAATCGTATGGCGTATGATACATTTCGTAACGTCAATACAAAAAGCCGATGGCGGGTGGTCAGAGCGCCGTCCAATCGAAGTATAGTTGAGGCGCCCGCGTGCTTACGACACCTCGCCATCAACTCGCTGACGACGCGCCGACGCCGCGTACTCGTATTTTTTTAGTTATTTTAGTATGTTCTCTCAATAGTTAATTCTAACAATAGTTATTATAAAAGATTAACCTATTACCGAGTTTAGGTCCAGTTCTTTATTGGAAATCCCATCTGTCCATTTCATAAACCTAATCCTTAACTTCATGATTGGCAGTCGCTCTTCCAACATTTCAACCAACAAAGCAATCCTTGTTTGTTTTATTAATTTAATAATGTTAAAGACGTTGCGGTATTACATGAAATCAAGTCAACTTCAAAAATGTTCTGAATTTCAGATCATTCTGCAAACAAGTGAAGGAGCAGTTGGTACAAAGGCTATAAAGTATCTACTGACATATCTGATTGATTTCTGTGCATAATAAAGGTTATAGATAAGCTTTGATTCTCATGCAGTTTTATCATAGGAAACAGCAACAATTCTTGGTAATATAAATTCTAGACTGTTTTGATAATGTGCTTTGTTTATCAATCCCGTGATCTATGGATGACCCCATTATACAAATTAGGGATTTGCATTATAAATCTCTTAGATATAGTTATTCATTCTTTACCTAATATACTCTGTCTGCCTCGGTGGTCTAGTGGTCGCAAGTGCGACTGCCGGGCAAGGGGTCTCGGGTTCGATTCCCGGATCGGGCAAAGTATTACTGGGTTTTTAAAGATTCTCGGTGGTAGCACGGAGTCTGGAATTGTGCCTGCTATATAGCAATAGGCTCACCCCTATTACATGGGACTCATAACATAAATAGTGAAAAGTGGGTGTTACATTGTACAGTGGCATTAAGTGTCGTAATGTGCACCTCTGCCTACTCCTTCGGGGATAAAAGGCGTGATGTTATGTTATGTTATGTTATCTTTTTCCTATACAACGACACCCACTGCCACGCACCTACATATACACGAATAGCACAAAAAAATCATAATTATGTAGACAAGTAGGTAATATATAAACATTTATTTTTAATAGGTATACTTCTATATCTAAATAATTCCAGCCAGTCGTTCGTAAAGGCGAGATAAAACTCCAATGTCGCTTTTGTTTTAAAGGGTTGAAACTCGAGGGAAATCAGACAGCTATAGAGAGAGAACATTTTTCATTTAGATATTTTATAAACTAAAGTACTGTTATTTAGCTTAGCTTATCGAACTTATGTATGATTGCGATTTTAATATTATTTTATTGTATTTATTTGAAAAAGTAAATGTATGGTATATTTTTAAGGAGGGAAAATCATCGAATGCCTTCTCCCGCCTGGGTGAGGCAGGAGGGAGTGTCAGACTCTTACTGACTAAAAACCATTCCGTTCCTACTCCTGCACTTTAAGCCGGAGCCCCAGTAACCCGTTAGGTTCTCCGCGACTCCGAATCGGCATCAGCCCTATTGGGCCCCATTCGTGGTGGTCTGATGGTTGTTTGAGGCGCGCGCGGAACGCGACGCGCCGTACGCTCGAGTCTGTTTCTCCGCAGGCCCGCGCTTAGGGTGCAGTTCTATTGAGGCGGAGCGGAGCGGAGAAGAGCTGTGCAGCGATTCACCAATCAACTACAACCAATTCAGCGGAGTGAAGAAGAGATGTGGATTTCAAGCTATGTGATTGGTGAATCGCGGCACAACTCTTCTCCGCTCTGCTCCGCTCCGCCTCAATAGAACTGCACCCTTACTGTGCCCGGAGAACGTAAATGTATGGTATAGATATTAATTTTATGGATCTCTTAGATGTCTGAAATAAATGATATTTTTATAGATACGGTTAGGTATTTAGGATTACCTTAGGAGTAAATACTCACTTTTTTTAATTTGCAACATTTTTCGTTGTATTTTTACCATAATATTCCATATTGTAGCTAGTACGTTCTTTACCTTATGGTGACTCACGGGGACCGTCCCCAGGATCCCCATTCTCAGGGGGCCCCGAAGAACCGACAGTTTCTACGGCGGACACAGAACGTATACCAGGCGGTTTATTGAACATAAAACAATATTGACTGCCTCGTTGTCCGAGTGGTCGCAAGTGCGACTGTCGGGCAAGTGGTCTCGAGTTCGATTCCCGGGTTTTGAAGTTTGAAATTGTGCCCGGTATATGGCAATACGCTCACGCCCTATTACATAGGACTCATAAAATAAATAGTG